GTTTCTGTTTGAAGAACAAAAATCACATTATTACAAAGCTCTACAGTTTTTCAAGCAACTATCAAAGGTCTTCAAGTCATTAAAATATATGCAGTTGAAGATCAGCTTGAATTTGCAACGCAGAATTCTTGAAAGCACGTTATTAAAATTTTTCTTACTGGGTGAAAGCCAAAAAGATTTTGTCACTGGAAAAAACTGAAGGGATTTGAGTTTTTTGAGTAATATGGCTCTTACCTCTGCTGTGAGGAGTGGACTTTATGGGCAGCCTTAAATGATAGAGCACGGAGAGGAGAAATGCAGAGAACAGACGCCTGAGGAAGGCTGGGCCGTTACTTCAGGCAAGACAGTGAGACCCAAAACTAAGATACAGCAGCAAAGAGATCACAAGAGGAAGCACAAATATAAACTGTACTTGAGAGGCAGAATCAGCAAGCCTGCTCCTCAGATCCATGTTCCTCAAGGTGCAGAACCAAGGCCCAAAGCACCAGACCACCTGAGGTGCTCAGGGAGCTTCCGGATTCCTGGGTTCTGTACTACGACCGTTGGATTGGCATGCCTGGATTTTACTCTCAAATGCTGAGATGTCCACTTGAAACTACTGAATTATCTGTTCTGAGCATCAGGGGAAGAGAGGCATTGATCAGTGAAAAGTCTGCCTTGTACCCAGGAAAATAAAATGGCATTGGAAGTGACTCAAGACCACAGAGGAGTTTTAACAGGAAGCAAGAGCTGTGTTCTGAACACTTGGAGATTGGCATCTCTGCCTCTTTCGGGAAAAGTCTAGGGTACAGGTGGAATTAAGGTCTAAACACAAGAGTTTCCAGGTGTAATTTAAAGTCATCTGCATATGGCTATAATTGAAGTGTATGTAGGTGAGACTATTCAAAAAACAACTGAAGAGAAATAGAGAAGAATATCTGGTAGAGAATGCTGTCTACAATTTGGCAGAGAAGCAGATAGGAGAGGAGAAGTGTGGGAAACTGCAAGAGAAATGAGTTTGTGAGAAGCAGAAGGGGTGGTGGGAAAGGCCGACAGAGTTAAGGACAGAAATGTGGCCTGTGGATGAAGTGAGCAGGAAACGGTGATTACTGAAGATCGCCTGCACTGAACATAAAAGAATATGCAGTGAGGATGAAGAAAAGGAAACTGGGACACTCAGAGGAGGACAGTAACAAGTGCTGCAGGGCCATCTATAACTGAATCTGGAGGGATGTGAACCAGGGCAACTGGAGAAGTTAGTGTCGATAACAGACTATTTCTCCCATTGAGAGAGAAACTTAGAAAATAAATATACATGCCAACATGCAAGCGTATTTCTAGAGAGAAGGCAAGATGACAAGAGAATTTATGCAGTGTCTCCTTTGTCACTCCAGAAAGGAGAGCGTCTAAGCCTAAGGAGAGAAAACAGAGCCAGGAAGGCAACAATATGTACTGAATACTAATTATGTGACTGATTCCGTATGGAGGAAAATCTGGAGTCTCAGCGGTATGATGGCATTTTTCCTGTTGTTACACTGTAACTAGGGATAGAGGTTAGGAAGCGAGCATAAATCTGTCAGCTCTCAAGCTATGTCCTCACATGCTTCAAATCACTGTCAGTAATGTGAAGTAAGTGCATCTATCGTGACCTGAGTCCCTTAATCAGCAGTGAGTTTTACAAATGAAGTTAGTTTCCTGGGATCTAGGTTAAAAGGGCAATCTAAACTGGAGCCCCAGGGGTGGTGTCCTATGCTTATTATTCACAGTAGAAAAGGCAATTTATTTATTGGCTTGCAAAAAGTAAACCTATCCGTCAAAAGCTCATGATAACCAAGTTTCCCTTGAACCTCTCAGTTCTGCAGTCACTTTTGCTTGATTTGATCTAATCGTTTGTTTTCTTCATGAATTTCAGAAGTATGAATGGGCATAAAACAAAAATCCGATGGCAGCAATTCCTACTGTAGCCAACACATTGGCGCTGGACTTATGAATCAGTTTTGTGTGTGTTTCCTACACTAGAGGGAACTAATTCAGTTGCAAACGCCTGGACTCAAAGCGACGACCAAGCTTTTCACCCCACTCTCAGTACATACACTTTGCATTCTACTGCCCAGGAACCGGGCATATCTCAGCATAGGTTGTCCTTTCTCATTGCTGTAAGCACACAATAAGCAGATGACATTGAACAAACAGTCTAACAAATAAAATACTCACGTTCAGGTATTGGAATCAGTGGGATAAATTTGCTGAATACACTCTTTGTAATAGAAGGACTGGATACAAAGCAGGAATAATTGCCTTTGTCGGAAGCCTCGACATTTGCAATGTAGAGATTTCCATTCGTCTGAGACACAAATCTGCGTTTGTCCATTGTGATGAACACAGGAAATTCATTTAGAAGCCAGCGGTAGCTGAGATCATCTACAAGACAATATGGTCTACTAAGTACTCAGCTCTTCAAAAGAAAAGATTCAGATTTCTAGTCACAAGCTCTCATATAAATTAGCAGAGGTTGTGGTAGAGAAAATGTTGGAAGAAAACTAAGGGAAACATGTAAATTTTCAAATAGTTACCATATTTCATGAATATAAGTAATATATCAATGTATTCATCTCTGTTCATTTATAGACTACTAACAGTCTTACTTGCATTTCACTGTGGATTTAATTGAAATTTGAGTTAAACAAATGGCTTAGATTTCACAATCATTAAATTAAATAACATGCTTAGCCATTCAAGAACATTAAGGACTGGATGTTTGAATTTGTATGTCCTAATTCCAAAGCCTGTCTATCTTCCCAATGGTATTTTATAAATAATTTCAAGATGGTTTATCAGGGACTGTGAGACAGTTCAGCAGACTAAGTACCTGCTTAGGCAAGCACAGGGACCAAGGCTTGATCCCCAGCACCATATGCCAGGCCAGCCCCACCCTCAGGGCGGCCTGAGCCGGCCAGAGTATGGGCAGAGTGGTGCATGCCTGTAATCCCAACGCTGGGGAGGCTGAAAGCAGGAGGATCACTAGGAGACTGAGATGTATAGTGAGACCCTGCAAGGATCAAATACATTTTTTAAAAAAAGATGTTTTATCAGATCAACCACTTGATGAAACAGAAAGATCAGTGAGACGTCAAGTATGTTCTACAGAAAGACTAGGGAAGCCCAACACATACGCTGTCAGTGCGAGCAAGCTCTGTGCGTGGAAGGTGCTGTCATGTGTGCAGATGGCCTTAGGTGAGACGGCTGAAGTAAAGATTATTTTTTTGTATAAGTTGTTATTAGTATTTTTCATTGTAGCTCATATAAGGATTTATTTGTGGGGGGCTGGGGAGATGGCTCAGTGGAATAAGCTCTTCCTTGGCAAGTACAAGTGCCTGAGTTCAATCCCCAGTTCCAAAAAAAAAAAAATTATTCGTGCTGTTCTTTTTTTGGTTTAATACACCAAAAAATAATCAATGTTGAAAATTTTGATGCTTCTTTATTAATACTCACAATATTAAAAAGCTAATACTTTATTTTGTGATTTTTCTCTGTTAAATAGCCATTGCTTAATAGAACTCATAAAATTAAAATTAAAAATTCATCAGCAGAAATATTCTAGAGATGTGCCTCGATGACAAAATTAGTGTTATGCTCCAGAGTGAAGACAACTGTGTTTTCCTGATTCAGAAATAAGGTTTCCTATTCTCAGCTAAAATGAAAATCAATATTTTGCCATGGTTCCTGGTAATAATTAAAATAAAGCCAAGTTAAGAACATATGTATATTTCCTTCCAGAAAAGGGAATTTTATAACCTCACAATACTTTCTTGAATAAAATGTATTCAGAATATTCTGAATACTCAATAGTTGTGTAAATTCAGAAACCTGGATTTCTTTCTTTTTCTTTTCTTTCTTTTTTTTTTGGAACCGGGAATTGAACTGAGGCCTTACACTTGCCAGGGAAGTGCTTCTTCTACTGAGCTATCTCCCCAGCCCCAGAAACCTGGATTTTAATTTTAAACATGACTGCTGTTAGAGTAGCTAGTCATTCTATCAATTTCTCTCAAATTTAAGACACGTTTTCTATTCTCCACTTATAGAAGATGTGTCAAGGAAAATAAGCTGTGACACTAGAACTTTCAAAGATGAAAGCTGGCCAGAGTTGTTGCAGCAATGTTCCTCTGGACGGACACAGTTCTGGGACTGCAGAGAGTACAGTCTGACGGTCTGGTGCCCCATATAGGTTGTCTTATTTCCTTCTTTTACACAAACTCAGTATTTACAGTGTGCCACTAAGCCAGAGAGACGTGGTCTTTGCCTTTGTGGGACTTGTGATAGAAACTTAATATATCCAGCGAATTTTAGCCAACCGATAAGACCATTCACTTTGACAAAATAATAACTGCATCATGTTAGAACGTATCTGTCATTACAACAAAGCTGGTGATGCTAATCATTTTTTTTGAGAGTAGAGGATATGCGTTGACATTGTTTTTGGATAAAGATTCTGCGCAAAGCTGCCCCAGAGCTATAAACAACAACCAGTTAATTTGGTAGGGTGGAAAAGCCAAGTGTCGCTATTGCCAATGGGGGAGCAGCTGAATTCATCTGAAGGCGAAGTGACTTTGATCAATCCAAGTGTTATGGACACGGGGAAAGTGGACACCTAAGTTATGCTTATTCAAAGAATATGCTTGGAACCGAGTCCTTGCTAGTTAGAGTGACTCTCCAGGGGTGACAGGACAGCAGCAGGAGTCAGAACTGATATTCTAACGATCCTCCCCTCCCCCACCAAATCTGTACCAATGCTGCACCAGTAACAACCCCGACTCTCTAGCTAACCCCTAACTCAGCTCTCTCAAGGGGTTGTCTTTGTGTTCCCTTGCTCTGTGAAAATCACAAATCAACCATTGTGAAAAAGCTAGCCTGTTTTTCTCCTAGCACTGTGGACTGGGTTAATGAACAAATTACCATAAAGTTAATTTTTCAAGAAGAGTAAGTGCTAGTATATGCTTAGAAAATGTTTCATTTTTAGTTGTTTTTTTTTTATTCTCTATACAGTAAAATGAAATAAAATAAAACAGATTCAGAAGCTTTCTTCACCTTGCTTCTGAGAGTCTGGAACATACACATTACAAGGAAATGTGTTCTGGCCAACTGCAGTATGTTTAGTTAGTTCACTGTATTCTTTTGATCTACACTCTCATCTACCCTTCCACATAATGTATCTTTCTCCTGGAAATGCACTTGAAAAACTTTATTGTACCCTGAAGGAACAACTGAAAATCAAAGTCTTTAGAAGACTTTCATATCTTTTTAAAAATTAGTTTTGACATAACCTAATTTAGCTATCCCAATAAAATCATCATACCCTCTGATCAGTGGTTTGATATGGTAAACTATAAATTGAACATGTTTAGAAAGAGATGTACTAATTTGTATTCATTATGAATTAATATATTCTATAGCCTGATCTTCTAGTCTTGTCTATTTTCATATTGATATTTTAGATCTACTGATAATATTCAACATACCAGATGGCATGTTCTTAAAAGTACTCCCACTTTCTTTTCAATTTAAAATTCATACATGTGTCTATTTTTAGGCATTTGATATGTTATCAATAGTAGCCACCCTTCAAATGACATTTTTCTCTCCTATTACTCAATATACAAAGATCTATGAAGTGTAAGCAGTAAGTCAGTTTTGAGGGTGTTACTGATGGAAAATCAGATGGAAACAAAATATTGTGTTGTCATGTTCGAGAATCTAGGGAGTTTAAATCTTTCGAATTTGTGGTTTATTTTAATACCAAAAAAATAGATTTACCTATTCATGAAAATTTGTTGCTACACGCAATCAATTTAATAAACAAATTTATTTATTCTTTCATTCTCTTATCCCCTCATTCCTCAAAAATTTATTTAGCCTTCCTTGTGCTGGGCATTAGACAATCAGTTACACATCACAGGCCATCATAAAATGGAATAAACATTTGGACTGCAATGCATGTTTGTGGCGGCTCAGGCTAGACAAGTAGCGTTGTTCAGGCCACAGATGTCTCCTTTAAGAAACTGAAACGCTGAAATTTACAGAAAAATGGAATGGATCATGACAGATGAGCTGTGCACTCTAGGCCTTTTCCTTGTACACGGGCCATTCTTTCGAACCACGAGTCAAGCATCTTGAGGGTAACAAGAAGCAGCGGATGATAACAGATCCAAAATACTGAATATTTTTAGATACATTTTATGTAATATTGATCCATTGAAATGACTTATTCCATTTCCTGTTTTCAAATGCAACAATCAATTATCACAAGCTCTATTTATTGAAGAACGCATAAGAGTTATTGTTCCCAAATTTTAAATGGAAGTGAAGAGAAATAGGATCTGTTTCCTGGACATAGTAAGGAAAGTCACTAGGACACAGAAGTATAAATGGACAGACAAGTGACACTGTTAGTGGCTCAGACTCCACGCATGGATTTCTTTGCACTTTCAATCCAGTAATGTTCCAGGCAGCAAAGCACAAGCCCTTGTTGTAACAGCATTAAGAAGGAAGATTTATAGTGCTACCATGGTCTGTGTTAGTTGAAGGTGGTATGTATAATGTCCACCAATATCATAAAGCATATGGGGCTGGAGAGATAGCTCAGCAGTCTAAGCACCTACCTGGCAAGTGCAACGACCCAGGTTCGATCCCCAATACCACGCATCATGAGGGCCTGAGGCCCCTGAAACCTGGGCAAGCTTTGTGGGCCCCCAAAACCTGTTTGCACTATGCCACCCCATAACCTGCTGTGTTGGCACATGCCTGAAATCCCAGCACTTGTGAGGCTGAGACAGGAGGATCACTATAAGTCCAAGTTGCATAGCAAGACCCTGTACCAAATAAATGAAAGATTTTTAAAACATTATTATATCATAAAGCATATATCATACAATAATTGTATTGCATCATGCCAAGGAAGAAGTTGGCTCTCTTGGTTTAATGGCTGTAAATGATTTTCTTTTCCTTTCTTTCTTCTTTCTTTATTTATTTGCATGTATTTGGTACAGGGTCTCACTACGCAGCTCAGACTCAGAGTAATCCTTCTGTCCCAGCCTCCCCAGCACAGGGATCACAGGCATGCACCACCACACCTGGTTACCATGGCCTGCACAACCAGTGTCCCAGGGCTGGCACAGCACAAGGGACCAGGGATCAAATCCCGGTCCTTGCATTTGCCAGGCAGGCGCTTAGTCCGCTGTGCTCTCTCACTGACCCTCTCAATTTCTACCAACCCCATTTTAGTTCATGAAAATCTTTACTCAGTGCAGAGACTCAGATGCTACGGACACTGAAATCATGATGTACCTCAGGGGAATCGCGGATCCTGTTTCTTCCTACCTACTCTGATTTCCTAGGCTTTTTAGTTGCAGCCCCAAAGATTTGAACCAATTTATATAATAACAAATTACAGGTTAATATTTATAGCTCACGCTTCAATCCTGATCTCCACAGACATGTAGAGCTGCTAAATGGATTTCCACTTAGGAGTTCTATAGCCACGCTGCATTTGTCCACACCTATTCCTTCTGCTTCGGTCACAGTGTTCTCATTAGTTTAGGATCTCAGGACAAACATGCTGATGCTATCTGGGACTCCTGGGATAGCATCCCATGTTGCATCCCATGTTGCTCCTCTGTCTCACAGAGGAGACCCCTCACCACTACCACACCTCCTATCTGACCTCAGGCCCTTACGCTGCCCTCCCCTAAGTCCTTTCTCAAAGCTACCACCAGCCATTGTTTCCTAACTCAAGTCACATCGCGTGGCTCCTCTGCACAAAGCTCTCCACTGCAAATCTCACTGAAAGTAAAGCCCACAGGATTTCTGTGAACGAGAAAGTCCTCCACAGCTGGCTCCTGCAGCATCCCACTGCCTTCCTACTGTCCTCCACCTTATCTGCTCTCACACAGTCACCGGCCTTCTTGCTTCCCTGTGGTCAAACGACAGGGCTTTGTTCTTGTGTCTCTCCTGCCTGGCATGTTTGCTCTCAGACATTTGTCCTCTCAGCTCACTCGCTTCTTCCAGGCATTCAAAGATCCTTTCCCTGGTAGGCTTGTTCTAAAAGTTCAGGAATCCTTCCACATTTCATCCTGCCCTTTCTTGCCTTGTTTTCTCCTGAGCATGATCTACCAACACCTAACATGTTCTATCTACACTATTAATCTTATTGTCTGTCTGTCTGCCTGTCCCAGCAGGAGGTCCCAAGAGCTGGTAGCTTTGCTTTCTTTCTTCTGCTGAGGAATTCCTATGGTATAAAGAGTGCCTGGTGCATAAAAGCGCACGCAGGACATGGCTAAACCGAGGAGGAAGGGCTGAAAGCCATCCCACCTGCCATGCTGTCAGTGCAGCCGATGACCCACCAGAGGCAGTACCTTGGAGGAGGGAGGATTTCCCTTATGGTTTTCATAGTTCTTCAACAGAGCTTCTTCTCTCACTGAAAGGTTGCTACATTTGAAAGTCCATATGTTTCTCCTATATTTATCTTTCTCCTTCTACAGAGAAAATTACCAATAGTTTACTTATAAATAACCATAATTTAAATGCATAGATATATAGAAAGAACTTTTTGTAGAATATGATTTTGTGTGAAAATTAAATATATGTGTATACATGTCCATCCCAATGGTATCAGAGTGCTGTCTTACACATTATTCATAATATACTCTTATGCTGCATTCTCTTTGAAGGTGTTTGAAGTCAAATTTATGATATAATATTGGAACTATAAGAGTAGAAGACTATTTTTAACTGTAAAAAGTATTATATATTATTTCAAAACATTTTTTGATAAACAGAACATCTACAATCAATTTTATGAAACATTTGTCTTTTTTCTGTCTTTAGTGCAGGGTCTACAGGGTCTCACTATACAGACTCGACTCGCAGTGATCCTCCTGCTTTTCAGCCCCAAATGCTGGGATTACAGGCATGTGCCACCATGCCCAGTCTCAATTGCTGTTTCAGCGTGCCCCGCATGGCATGCCAGAGATCGGTTGCTGCATCTGCCTAAGCAGGTGCTTTAGTCTCCTGAGCTATCTGGCCAGCCCTAAACACTTGTGTTTTTAATGAGCATTTTAATGATTTTTATTTTAACCACCCCAAATTATATATATATATATATATATATATATATATATATATATATTTGAATCTCATAACTTTGGCATTTAATTTTGCCTCTTTTCTAAAGTTGATACTTTTGCTGATTATTGCTCCTAAAGCAATTAATAATTTATTATGCTCTGTCCCTTTCTAGTATTCAGTTATAGTTCATAGTATACTGTAGAAGAGAAACTAAGAAAAGTGATTGATTATTATACAACATTCTATGGTGCAACCCTATTTCAGAAAGTCTGTAGAAGTATCATTTAATGAAGATATAATCCTATAATTTATTATATATAATTTATAAACTGAACTAGTAAAATAACTTGGGATTAGGACCACATGATTAATGAGCCTAGCAAGAAATTGTCCATAAGCACTAGGAAGAGCTATATTTCAGTTACACAAATATAAACTTTCATTTCATTAATAATGTCCCATGAGTGTTTGGTAAATTAATAATGTATTATTATTGCTGGAAACCGGAAGCTGGCTCCTCCCGTGCGCCGGGTGCTGACCAGCACAGAACTTACCTGGAAAATGGTAAGGAGGGTCGCAGAGCAGAACCATGCCTTTCCCTTCTTTCACTCTGACTTCTGGGCGCTCCTCGGGTGGGAAAGGATCAAGATCTAGGTACAAGCACACACGAAAAGCTGTTCATTCTCCGCTCCACTCGAGGGGAGACAATGGTCAGGCTTCACCTCGCAGTAACTCGCGGTGGAGGTAGTACCTCCCGGGTGGTTCGCGGGACTCTCGAATCCAACTCGTTTGTGCGTGCGCTTGCAGATTTCTGTCCCAGGTTACAGACCCCGGGTGGGCTGCGGCCTGCGGAGGGCTCTGTCAACCTACAAACTTGTGTTTTACACTGAGGGAGCATCTCAGGGAGATATAATGGGATCGGACAGAACCAGAGAACTAGCGCAGATCGTGAGTGAGGAGGGGGCTTGGAGGCGGGGGCTCACGGGAAGGACATTCCCCTTCCTGCGGGACCACGAGGAGGAACACCGCGGAAAGGCGGCATCTTGCTGCAGAGCACGCAAGGGCCCAAACTCTTGCTCCTTCTCCATTCTGGGTTTGCTTCAGTTCTAATTTGCTGTCTTTTTCTTTTTTCCTTTTCCTTTTCCTTTCTTTTCCTTTTTCTTTTTTATACCATACACAGAACCTTCATTATTTCCACAGCGACTCGTACCTTGTCCGCCTGTCCTGCAGTCTGGAGAACACAATGGAGGAGCCTGGATGTCCGTGTGGCGTGCTGAGCTCCACACCCGGCTGGGGAAGGAGGCTCGAGGGAAGAGCGGGCTCCCCGTCCTCTGGGTGCTGATTTCCTCGTTCCCTTCACTTGTGGTCAAGAGGCCAGCAGGGTCTTCTGCCCTCCGAGGGTGCCCAGACAGCCTAACTAGTTCTCTGGAACGAGCTAAAAACATTTTCTCTTTTCTGTGCGTCTAGCACTCACTCTTTGTTTTCATCTTGCAGTAATTTGAATCTTCACGTGTTTCACTGGTATTCGCTGTCTTCTTACTGCCCTTCTTCCTGTCCTTTCTCTGTGATCGGCACCCAAATTTTAATATCTAATTTGCATCTCCCTCAACATACTGCTTACCGCTGAAAGTCTGCCTATTTTAATCATTATCTTTTTGGCAGAGGCGTTTGCGCCAACGTTTCTAGTCCTGCTGTTTCATTTGAACACCGTCCCTATTCCTATCTCAATGACTTACTTGGCATTTCAGCCCAGATAGCCTCATGCTGTCATCACTACTGCATGGGGTGCAACCATTTAAAAGCTTCTTTCCATCCTTTAAACAGGCTTTGCTTATTTCCAGCCCATTTTTAATAAGAACAGACACTTCCCTTACTTGACAAGACTTGGCTAGGAAAATATACTTAGACCCTTATTTCCTTCAGTAATCTGTGAATCCGTTGCTCAAGGTTAGTGGTGATTACTGATTTCAGCACACTGATTTATCCTTACTGTTCTCTCTGGTCCCGTTCTCTTGCTTAGTGAGAACTGCCTTGTAAGATTCCTTAAAATATCATTTGAACCTTATAATCTGTATTGCAAAAGACATAAATGCAAGTATAAGTGCTGACTTAAAAATCATAAACCAGAGATCATCTGGTCTACCTTGTCTTTCAAAGTGTAATTAACTTGCAGAACCTATTCACTTATAGTTTCTCACAGTATTTCTCAATTTTGTTTTCATTATTGACTCCCACAAGGTGAACATTTTCACTTGTTTTAAGATAATCAAATTAATCACAATATAATTTGGTTGATTCCCAGTCAGAGATATTAAATGTTGCAAAATAAGAAACTGTCAAGTACGGCTGAGCTTTGGAGAACCACAGCCAGTGTTATAATGTGCGAGATGGTCTCTGCCCCTAAGAGCCCATCTGGACCTTCTTTGCATTGCCTCCACCGACAGGATGTGCGTTAGCAGCTTCACGGATGCCAGCCTTCAGCGTCATTCTAGATCCCGCAAGACGTGGCGAAAGTTTATTTCACAGCATTATCCTTCACTGTTTTAAATGCATTCAAACTATCCTGCGTGACATCATGATGTTTGGAGTTTTTTTCTATCTGGCATCCTTAAGTTCCAACGCATCTTGAAAGATCCACCCTTTCTTCCATCTAGATTCTTCCTTCCTTCTAGATTCTTCTTACTGATTGTTCTTACTGAATTCTTAGCAAAGCACTCACTGATATCTACTTTGTGGACCACAATGAAATTCATCTGTTTTAATTTAAAACTTCTACCCACCTTTGACCTGCCTCACTGGCCTGCTGTGTGAGGACAGGGAATGTGACTTCCTCCAGGGACAAACAGGAAGCATTCAGTGCTTCATTTGAGAAGGGTGGGAGTGGGGCACTTTTTACTGGGAATTTTTTTTTCTTTTTTTGGCCAAACTGGGGATTGAACTCATGCCCTTGCACTTGCCAGGCAAGTGCTTATTCTACTAAGCCATCTCCCCGACCCTGGGAAAAGTAAGTAGAGGTATTTTAATAGAAGAAACCAACCAAAAAAGTGGAATTTGCTTTTTCATGTAGAATTGTACCAATACTTTTTTAACTTCATATAAAAGAACTTGGCCCTTATCAAGGTTGTGGTTACTTACATCCAAAGCTCAGTGTTGCTTCCGTACTTCTGACCATCCCATAGTTATTGGATGCCAAGCAGTAGTATATGCCAGCATCCTTCTGCTTGTCAGGGTTGTTGATAACCAGGTTTCCTCCCACCATACTGTATCGATCACTTGTTAGGTCAACATCCCCATTATTCATTCTCCACCTAGGAGGAAAAGATATGTCATAGCGCAGGTGGAGGGTGGAGACTGTGTCGGCAGAAACAGCATTAAAAAATAACCATCCAGCAGAAAAGTATAAAAACGGGGTATCAAAAGTAAAGCCATATTAATATGCTGAGCTGTGAAAGGCTCAAGTCAACAACTTCTGACATTGCCAGTCCTACAGATAAAAAGTATGGACTACTATGGACTACTGGACTATATTGGATTATTTTGCTGAATTCACGCACCTACAATATTTAAATGGCAACAGAATACCCATCTCTGACAAAACTAAACAAAAAAGGGGATACAAATGAAAATCATTTTGTATCTGTATATACAGAATAGTTGGGATAGATATACAGCTACTTTCTCTTCATTCAATGAGAAGAAAGATTTGTACTAATAGTGTTTGGACAGGATATCATGTCTGCATCTTGTACTATGAATGACCACTACGAAGATAACAGTATGCAATGTATTAATTATTGAAACTGTCCTACTAACCTGTTTTGAAACTGTCTCATTGTTATTTGTTTCTCAATAAAATTAATTTTAAAAAATAACTTGGGTACCGCGGCTTGCAAGGTCAGGTGATTGAGTACGACTCCGTGTTTTTTTTTTTTTTACAGCCTAGACCCTGTGGATTTGGGATCATGATATACAATTTAGTGAAGGTACAGAAAGATGAGTGCTACATCTAGTTTCCTTTTCAGATGAGACAGTCCAAATGGCATATTTGGACCACTAGAGGGCGATCACGGCATAGAAAAAAAATGATAAAACACGACTGGGTCTTTGGATTCCGAGCCACAATTAGTAAAGCCAGATTTTCCTCATCCCGGAGTTGGGGACATGTTGTGACTTTTCTAATTATTTAGGGATTATTTTTGGCACGAGAATTGTCACCTACTCACAATATAGGTGATACGTGTTGCATGTAATCAGACCACTCAACTAGAAAAAGGGATCTAGCTTTATGGGTGAGATGAACAGGTGGAAGACTAAGACAACCGTTTTAGACTAAGACGACCACCTGAAGGATTACATGATTCCGCACCAGAGTGTAGCCCTTAGGCCTCCGCATCCTGAGGAGGCTGCTGTCAGCTCCGAGGTCAAAGGGTTCAGGTAGTTAAGGAGCAGCCCACGACCACAGCGCTCACGTCTGCACACATTTCTGATGACAGAAGGGGTCATGCTAAAAATGCCTAATGATTGCAGAGTATTTTTCAATTAAGTCAAAGTTGCTAGAACATTTTTAGTTAAAAATCTTTATAGTGTGGCAGATAATTTTAAAAGCAAGCGTAGAAAACCAGGCTTTGGTAATGTATAAACTACTCACTTTAACTCAGTGGATTAATCTCCTTGCCTCTCCCCTTAGGTGGGGGCAGTACTATTCCTACCTGAAGCAAAAAAAATACTTGTTGCTTATTTTTTAGGTTGAGCAGCTCCCATTATTGGGACTTTTCTGTCCAATATATGGGCTCCCAGTCTGTTTTGTATTAATTTCCTATTGTGGCGCTGATCATGGGCTATCTGCCTGTGAGAGCCTATTATGATTAATATGTCTCAGCTGGGTTAGCTCAGCGTCTATTTTGAGAAACACATGCTAAAGCTGCAATCCTCGTGCCGCTCGAAATAGTTTTCATGTAGTGCCTGCTACTTCGGGGCTAACGGGACTAAGCTAATGGGAACCTCGGGGTGCTACGTGGGAGGCGAAGCTCCCTTCCCACCTCTCGCCTCTCGGAATGGCGCGTGAATAGCACATTATCTAGAGCACGCTACCAATATAAAACTCCCGTGTGTGCGACAAGTTGCAGGATTACCAAGGTTAATATGGCTTGCTGGGAATACTAAGTTTTTAAAACTGCAAGTGCTCTTTCCTGTCAGACTAGCTGCAGCAGGCAATAATTCCTTTCCTTTTCTCTTCTCTTCCTGAACGCTGGCTGCTTTCCTAACAGGGTGCAGCAGCCCTTCGCGATCTCTGTGCGTTGGTGTATGGGTAGTTAGGTCAACTCAACCTGAGGGTCTCGGTGTGGGCGTGACATGTGGGGTGCAGGTGGAGACAGCCCTGCCGGGAGGGTTCTGTCCTCTGTGCTCCCGCCGGGTGGGGATGTGAGCCCCAGAACGCCCAGCCTCGTCTGGGAGGCGTTCCTGGAAATCTGTGCACGAGCAGTCCCTCGGGTTTGCTGTCCCCAGTGCAGCCTGGAAGAAGATTTTCCAAGGTTTCTTCTAGGATCATCATGGCATAAGAGTCACTGAAGCAACTCTTGAGAGCCTGTCGACCCACTGACGTGGATAAATACTAGAAAGGTTAGATGTGTCTTTGGAGTCACCCAGCTTGTGGTGTGGTCCTGGATTTTGTGACTTACTAACTCGAGCCAGGTGTTTTGCTAATTGCAGTTTCTCTCTCAGAACTACTTTGGGTTAGACCTCTGGAGGTCCTGGCCCCTGTCATAGTCCACGTCCATGACAGTGCACCTAGATTCCCCTTACATATGGCTGAAGGGCAGCAATAAACCCAGCCCGCCAAATAATTTTAGAACAAACGTGTCATTTACAATTTATATTGCACCTCCATGCATGAAATTGAAACAAGAACAATTACAAAGGGATAGTGATTTTGTGTCTAAATTCGTATTTTCTTTTAAGCATTATTTTGTCATGATAGCTATAGGCAAGAGAAAATGAATGCAAGTAGAACTAGGTAGGGGACATTCTCTTTGATATTAATTTTGTAGCAATAGAAATTTATTTTTCTATCTAGGAAAAAAATCTGCTACTAAAATCAACCTTGTTAAATGACAACCTTCAGTTATATCAGGTGACATTAGCCTACTGGAGTCCCCAATTTCTCCATCAATCACTTGCTTTGTCTTCATGGAAGTATCTTACAGCTAAAACTGAAATCCACTGGTATTTGGTGAGCTTTCAATTTATTCTTTGGCTCAGAATATAGTCTACTGTTCAAGCCATCTGAAGTGGAAAAGTTCATTGCAGCTTTTTATATAATTACCTTTGATAGTATAAATGTGGAGCCCAGAAAGAGAAAGAGAAATAATTTCATACAGATTTTCCAGGTGGTAGAGACATAGAAAGAAATGTATTATGTTGTGTAGTTACATATTTGAGATTATTGTAAAAGGTACTATTTTCTAGAATTTCCTAGGCAAGCTTTTTAGATGTGGTTAATACAGAAATATTACCTATCATTTGTAGCTAAGCCTTAGTCAGGTCATGCACACACAAAATTTTAACCCCAAGCCTGCATACTTAAATTATGTATGTTTTCCTAGAACCCTTGGGATGCTTATCAGCGTCGTGTCCATTAGATAATTCTTAAGTGCACGATGTCAAGCGCCATCACATCATCTGTGCGGGAAACAGCGAGAGACTTATGTACGTCTATTTAAGAAAAGCTGCTACGTTTGGGGGAATTAGACAGTGCTTTTCAGTGTGTCAGTACTTGTGTCCTTCTCCCTGGTCTCTGTGGTAAGGGGGTGTTTGAAAAGTGCAGGGGGCGCATTACTTGTAAACTGGGAAAGGACTGGCCCGCGCCCTGCAGTTCAGCGACACTTTTCCCTCCAGTGATTCCTCGGGGTAGATGGTATTGATTGGCTGCTCTTCAAAGATTGGTCCAAAGCCTTTGTCTTCCTCAGAAACTGTGAGAAAAAAAAAAAAAAAAAGAGAATTATTTTATATTAAGGTCAAAGGAGATCTAGACGCATTGAAAAAAATGAGCAACACAGAACCTCTATTCTAATTCAGAGCAAAGACTTTGCCTCTGTGAGCCTCACGAACATACTCAGTTCCTTAATTCACAACTATTTCCTGCCCACCTCTCCTCATTTGCATAATAGCATCACGTGACGCCAGCTTTCCCTACTTCTGTCTCCTCAAACAAGCCATAGTTTTGTGCCGCTGGCTTACCAATGTGCTTTTCCTCTGCCTGGAATCACTGCCCTACTTTTCTTTTACCATAAACACTCCAAAGGCCCCGTGAAGCTGAGGAGTGAGGTCCTGCAGGAAGCTACTCTCCGCTCTTGGCTCCAGTTCATTCCCTCGTTTGCCCTTAGCTTCCTCCCGTATTTACAGTACTTAACACGTCTGCTGTGATTCTCAATGCAGCCTCCTGTCCTACAGCTTGCCAAGACAGAGGCTAGGTCCCAATCCAAGCACACCAGCCTTCTAGCCAGCTGCTCAGCTATCTGCGCTGCACAGGTACTTAAAGGTCTTATAGCAAGGAATGAAAAGACGGATGAATTTCTGGAACTGCTGGAGAACCTATTCTCCCTCCTGAGCCCATCTATAGTTTTCCTGAACATGCAAACAGCACCGGTACTCAGCACCATCCAGTCTAGGGCAATTTATAAATAATTTAGGTGGGTCTGAGATATGAGGAACTGGTTTGGAACTGCTGGCAAACACGCTTGTGCTGGGGAGGAGGGTGTGACCTCTTGGGAGGGAGGAAGAACATCATGCAGCAGGGTGGAGAGAAGGGCGTCAGCCACGGGTCACCAGCACGGCCGCGCCCACACAGAACAGCTAAGAGCCACATGCTCCCAATGAATTAATAATGATCTCCGCAGCTAGAAAGGAGGACTAGTCTCACACAAAGTCCTTGCCTCTTGACCAGAGGCAGGGCATGATTTGCAGCCCTAGTTTATATTTTAAGAGAGTTTATGGCAATAGCACACGGATTGGTTAAGTTCTCTAAGACCAACCACGAAGAGGAGCACTGTTCCAACTTCTCTTAGCAGAGACAGTACGCCTTTGAAGCCTTGCTGCCATTTCTCAGTGTGCCTTTGGACAAATCATGTAAGCTCTGTGAGTCTCAGCAGGACCGCTCATAAAAGGAGGGAAATAGGCTATTGGTAAGAGGCTATTGGATAATAGGTCTTAATAATTTTAAGACCATGCATGGACGATAGTATTTTATCTGGCTTAGAGTTAGCAATCAGTGAATGCTGATTTTCCAAATATTCTAAAAAATTTGCTACCCTTCCCAAATTTTAATTTTTATTTTTATGTATATCAACTCAGGCTAACAATAGAAATTCTAAAAGTCAGAAGCCAAGTCCTTCTCTTTCTCACATCTCTGGGGCTAGGGGCCTGGTGCTGCCCTGAGCACTCAGCACATGGGTGCTGTATCTGTAGGTGTCAGCAGCCCTTGCGTTAGTTTCCTCTACTATTTGCAAAGTCCTGATCTAAGCTCTATCTTGTTCCACATCCTCTTGGCAGCTGCGATAACCAGAAAGACAGGTAATGTCTTCCGCTTCCCTTTGAAGAATTTCTGTGGTGCTGCCCACTGTTTTCTGGCCAGTTGGGAGGCAATAGCACACCAGGGACAAGTGAGGAATGACTTGGTGTGCAAGTCATTGGGGGACTTTCATTGTGGACATAGGGCCTGGGTGTTGCCATCTCTCAAAGAAATGGCCTTGTGCTTAGCAATGACACCTCTTATGCTGTTTCCCTTCTCGTGTGGACAACTTCACAGATGCCAGATGCTTCCTAGTGGCTCTCTCAATGGCACGATTTTTTGCCTGGAGCAAGTCAGTAACACCTGCCGAGTGGGAGTCTATGCTGTTCTTCCCAGTGTATATAAAGTTGCTCAGAAGACAAGCAGAAAAGTGCTTATCTTGAAGGCAGGATGACTTCTACTCCTATCCTAGAATTATCTCAAACTATTTTGTAAAACCCCTACCATAACAATATGTGGAAAAGCAAAACTATATATATTGTTTGTGGAAGTGTAAGGCTCATGACTATATTTTAAGTGCATTGTTTGGATGTTATAACCATATGCATAATGTCATTATTGTTACCGCCAATAACCCAAATCATCACGTTTAAGAGAAAATGAAGAGCTGCTGCCTTTATATTTATAAGGTAATGAATGAAGATCTTCAACATGTAATGCCTGATTTCTGTGTCTTACAAAAATGTTAGCTTAAGGTGGTCACCTTGGAGGCGTCAGGGTGACAGAGTAGGAGGCAGACTGGATTCTGGCCTTAATACAGCAAAGCGCTTTTAGTTACAACACTAACATATGATCCATGAAAGAAAGAAATGGGTAGGTTAAATTTTATTGAAAATCAAAACTCCTGCTCTGTGAAAGAGACTTAAGAGTATGTCAGGTCTTCAGGTTAAGGACAATTTATCTAGACTAAGTTATATTCCATAAGCAACAAATTGGAAAAACTTTGAAATAACTAAATGTATCTCATTTAATAATAGGGAAAATAGTAGCGATTATATGTCTTCATGTAGTTGTCACACATCTCATCGGGCACAGGCTACTGTGGTTAAAGCCCTACCATGTGATTGTATTCCCACTGTAAAAATATTAAATACTTCTGACCTGACATTCGACCCTCACACTCTGAGGAAGAACTGTCATATTTTTCTGCACCTGTGCATGGTCTGCCTGGCCCCAGGAGGCAAAGTGGAACATAAAGCAAAATATTGATTATGATACTATTTTACAACTAGAGTTACAGTGTCACAAAGAGGGGAACTGGTAAGAGGTATGTATGTTCAGATTTCCTTTGAATTAAGAGACAACCCTGAGTTGTGCTCGAAGTGTAGACACCGTTCCTGAAAACCACACTTCTGCTCCTTAAGGCATAATTTGACACACAGACCACTATTGAGCCTGACATTCTCCTCCTCTGTCCTCTGTACCCTAAAGACAGATTTCAAGGTCAACCCTAACTGAAGCATCTTCCAGGTTGTACCTATGTCTGTGTAATTCTGTTCAAGGTCCTCGAGGGTAACACACCCACTTGAGGTGGGTGGAGAATTTGGCCCTCCCTGTAGCTGGTGCATCCTTTGCCCTCAATAACCTCAAACAGATCAAACAAGATCTGGAGAAGTTTTCAGACAAATCTTTTGAGTAGACTGAGGTGTTCAGGGCACTTTCTCAGACCTGCGAATTGGACTGGAGAGAAGTGATATTGTTCTTAGGTGGAACATTGACTCTTGGTAAGAAACAAGTGGCATTAGGCTGCTGTCACATTTAGAGATGAATATCCTATTGTTAACTTCAAGAGATCAGAAGAGAGACAGCAAGAGGGACACTGGTTCCTGCTGTTGCCTGCCTAGGTAGTCCCTGTACAAGATTCCTACTGTTACTTGTGCGCCATCCAGAAAGGAGAGCGGAATAGAAAACATTTTCAAGTATATGTCCTTGAAGGCCTAAGGAGGACAAGAACTAAGCCCTTCAATTATCTTAAAGTGTAACTATTGCTCAGGAAAAAGATGGATACCCCCTGGCAATAAAATCATTGAAATTATCTTTCACATTGTGTCCCTTTAGAAGGAACAGCCACATGGGCAATTAGCTATGGCCATCAGACTACCTCGCTATCACAACAAGAGGCCTGCATCACTGACTTCTCCAGTAAGATAAACAGTCTAAGCTCTTGCTCAAGAATAGTCTTTGCCTTCACAGGCAGAAAAGGGCCTTCCCTTTCTGATTCTTATTATTACAAGAGACCTCTGCTAATTTATGACCTATGAGAAAAGTTCTGACTAGCTTATTTATAGTTTTGAACCCAAAAGCTATAAAAGGATCCTTGTAGTTCAACTTGGCCAATAACATCTGAGAGTGTACTATGTGATTCAAAAATAATTGTTTTGTAGGTTCATGTTTATTCATCTGCCTAATATGTATTAATAACCAGTTAAAACACCCACAGCTGTATCTTGCCTTCCAGAAACTTTGAAGCCTGAATAAAATAATGGGTTTCACTTGATGCTCTATCAGTTGCTTTAATTATTTTTCTATGGGGAACATATATTGGTTTTTGAAAGACAAATTACCCCAAACAAGCATCTGCATCACTTTGCTATGTTCAACAAGAGCCTTCAAATATAAATCCATCACCCCCATGAACCCGCTTCCTGAGTTCATTGTTCTATGAACTCAACAAGCATGTTTAGTTCCTGGAAAATACCTTTCTAGGATAATACAGCACAAGGCTCACAAAAGATATACTAATCATACTTATCTTACAGGAGAGCGTCATTTACTGCTTTTTTATGAGCATGGGAGGGCCTAGATGGCAATTCTGAGGCCTTAAAAGAATCACGAAATTAAATGACACAAGAAAACAATAGGAATCATGTATAAGAAAGAAACTAAGCTTATTTCACAAATACATTCCCCTTTCCTTACTGGACGGCTTCTCCTAAACTGAACTACAGCTATAAAAAAACTTCTCAAGCTAGTGGAAAATATAACTCTTTATATCATATTTCTTTCAATCCATTCTTAAAGAAACATTTCCTACCATATGATGTGGCCATCATAAACATCCTAGAGAGGTAAATTCATTTTTAAAATTTGATTGGAAAGATTAAGAAGAAAAACATCCTGCATGTGCATTTGTGTAACCTTCACAAATTCAGACAACACAAAATCCCTGCGTTTCCTTCAACGTAACTTTCAGTTTCACGTGAAGGTAACCGGTCATCACAATCGGGGACACGACTGCTGCCCCTCTGGCTGTGCAGAGATCATCCTCTGTGATCTGAATATCAATTTTATTTGTAGAAATTGAAAGTAACATGACAATTTGTGCTTGGCCATTTTAACATTTATTCGATCACCATGTTGAAACAAAGTCTTTACTCATCGTGAGATAGGTCATCTCCATCTGTAGATTAGTAAACAAAATTTTACAGAAGTGTGTGGTAGGAAGTCTTAGGAAGTATCTAATGGGAAAAGCAATGGCAAATTTGAATTTTTATAATCACATTTACAATATTCCCATCATTAAAGGTGCAGAGACCTGCAAACTCTCCTGAAATACAATGAACTCTCTAAATGAGGCAGCATTTATATTGTTAGAGGTACAGGGCTTCAAGATAATGCCCTTCCTTGTCTGCACTACCAACCATTTCCTACTTTGTAACAAGTAAAGGCAGTTAAGGTGTGGGCATTGAACATTCTCATGCCCGTACCTTCATGGTTCAGGGTACTAGGTAAAACTGGCTATTTTATTGTACCTAAAAATGAGTAATTAAGGGCCGGCCAAATAGCTCAGTGAATTAAAGTGCCTGCTTAGGCAGGCACAGAGGCCAGGGTTCAATCCCCAGCACGCTGTGCCGGGCCGCCCCTGGGGTGCGCTGAGATGTTGTTCGAGACTGGGTGTGGTGGCGCGCGCCTATAGTCCCAGCTCTTGGGAGGCTGAACACAGGCAAATCACTACGAGTCCAATCTACACAGTGAGACCCTGTAGACCCTGCAGACCCTGTACTAAAAATACAACAAACAAACAAAGAGTAACTACCTCAACATTGTTCTGAAACCTAATTATTAATACAAAGACCAGGGTCAAGAAAGCACAAAAGTTAAGAAAGCCAAATGCTCCATGCTGGCCTGCTGCCCGTCTTGCCAGCCGCTCCCTGGGCCTGCGGGGCATCTTTGAAAGGTCCACCCGCTGAGCCACCCGCACGTGGCGGGCACCTCTCCATCACTACTTCGGATCTGATTACGTCCTTGCACATGCGGTGCTCCCGCCGGCGGGTCCGCGTGAGGTCAGGCTGCCTCTGTGCTGTTCTGATTAATGAGGCTAACAAGTAACTACATCAGGGCGTAAAGGTAAGTCACAAAATGCCATATGCGTCGTTTAAAGTTAGAGACAGGAAACTGCACAGAGAATAATGACAAGTAACCGACGTGAGTCTAACAGAAGAATTACCCAGCAAATCTGCGGGTAGGTGCTGTAATAATATGGGACATTCCCTCTCTGCCCTCCCTCCAGAAAAACAATGAAGTACTTTTTGAATAGTAGCTCTGTAAAACATAAAAAGATACCATAACTCTGTATGAAGAATAAAGCACTGATTACTTCATTTTCTAATTCTCATAAATACTTGTATTTGATTACTTTCCTTTATACATTTTATTACTGAGGTATAAAGTAATTTAAAAGATACTTATTTTATTTTGAGATTTGCATGGACAAAGGATTGTTCTGAATTAGCAGCAGCCTGGTTTTTGAGTTTTTCTGGTATAAAAGTACAAGCAGATTATGATGAGAAAGGCATCAAAAATGCAATTTACTCTCAAATAATGGCATTACTAAGTATATGAAAATTACAAGTTGACTTCATACAACTCAGTTATGTTCATCCTCTTACCTCAAAGAATAAAATACTGATGTTACAAATCTTTAAAATAACAAGACTTTTAAAGGATATAGGGTAGACTTCACTTTGATGTCTATGATGTTTTAAGTCTCAGTATACCTTATTTTTCAAATTTAAGTTGTGTCTATTTTAATGTATACAATTTATTTAAAAACTAGTCAGCTAGGTTACTAAGACTGCTATCAAGTAAGAGTTTGGAATAATTACATACGATGATATATTGTATAGAACCGTTTCATCTCTAATAAAATGCTCCAGTCTTGCATCGCCCAGGTGCTGTGCAGATGTTATGACTGAGGGCTTGGGAGGCTCACAGTCTGTAGCAAAGTGACAAAGCTCAGGTCTGGCCCAGCACCAACGCCTCCTTCCAGGACTCAAAGTGAAAGTTGGCCAGCATCACTCCCATCTCTCCTGCCAATGACAGGCGTGGGTGTGAATGCGTGACCCCCTCTGGACCAGTGCTGAGAAGTTTCTGGGAAAGATCTAATTCTTAAAAAGAAATGGGTACAGGAAGGAAGGAACATGCCTCGTTACCCACAAGGGGCTGCTGCATCTGTGTGTGACGCTGGGACTGCAGCCTGGGACAAGCAAGGCAGGTAGGAAGCTGGGGGATCGCCATAGGATTAACCATGGTGTCGTCGGTGAGGGGAACTTCAGGATGGTGTGTGTTCCCAGCAGTGACCCAGCAGAGAAGCAGCAAGGGAAAATGAGCCAAAAAGTGACAACTGTGATAGCGGTGAACTTCAGTAGACTTGATAGGGTAAAGTCTGGCACACAACCACGGAATTGGGACGGTGCCAGCATCGATGAAGGACAGGCGGGCCAGCCACACAGGGACAGGAGCAGATATGGAGCTGCCACGGGAGGGTGAGCTGTGGAGTTCTCTCTGACCATTTCTAATGTCCCCAGGTAACAGGAAGCAGAATCATCACCTGAATGGAAGACCTAACTGGCAAGGTGTCAGAGGTATATGCAGAGAGGTGCCCCGGAGGTGACTGAGTGTGGGAAGGAACATGCTGGAGCAGTGGTGTGTGCGTGCTGGACAGTACCAGGAGTCCACCTGGGGACTGCAGTCATAACTGTAGCTGGAGCACACCTGAGCTTCTGAGGGCTTACATTTGTGCGTTGGTGCATGGAGAGCAGGGTCATTCGTGAGTGACTCTCAGGAGGCTGGTAGAGGGCGCTCAGGGACACCTGAATGTCCTACAACCCTCCATGGAAACTCACAATGCTTTTTACTTAGGGGAAGGCTATAGGTATGAATTTTCTCTCCCCACAGAAGAAAGACAGCAAAGCAGAAACAGAGAGAGAGAAAGAGAGAGAGAGAGAGAGAGAGAGAGAGAGAGAGAGAGACAGACAGACAGACAGACAGACAGACAGACCAAGACAGAAACAGAGAGACAGAGAGAGAGACAGAGAGACAGGAACAGAGACAGAGACAGAGACAGGGACAGGGACAGAGACAGACAGACAGAGACAGAGAGATAGGCAGGCAGAGAGGCAGGGAGGCAGGCAGGCACAGAGACAAAGACAGAGACAGAAAGAGAAAAACCTTATATATTAAAGTCCTAAATCCCAGTATATCCTAATACAAGCTTATTGGGAAATAGTGTGTTTTATAAAAGTAATCAAGTTGAATGGAGACTGTGAGGTAGGCCCGAAGAGTATTCTTATAAACAGGAAAATTAAAACACAGAGAGAGACATTCTCCAAGAGAAGACCATGAAAAGAGATCCAGGAGGACCGTCACATGAAGTTGGAGGCAGACAGACGAACTTTGCTGCCACAGCAAAGGGACACCTGGGCCTCGTGGAAGTGGAGGAGGCAGGCAGGAGGCTTTGAGAGCAAGCACAGCTCTGCTCATACCTTGTCCTCAGCCTCTGTTTTCCGGAACTGTGAGCCAATGAGTGTCTGTTCGTAGTTACTGTGGTGCTTTATCATGACAGTCCTAGGACACTAACACGTATTTATTTGGTATATTTATTATACATGCCTACACTGACTACTTCAAGTCAATAAGAAAGCATTAAACTTTGATGTGCCAGATTTTCTCAAATTTATTTGACAATGAAGTCCTTTTAATAAAATTCCTAATAACTTCCTCTACATAGATTTCCACTTTAACATTTAAGATACTTCAAGGCTCCTTCTTACTATTACCATTACTAAATATTCTTTAATTCTTCAATTCTTTTTAAACACCCATCATAAATTTTCTCATAAACATGTTATTTACTCGTCTTATTTCCTACATGTCTCACAGTCTAGGAAAATGACTTATAGATCTCTACATAGCTCACACATATTGCCCCACAGTGTTGGAACACAAATGGCTGTGATGGAATCTGGACCAAGAATTTCCTAGGCTTTGGCTCCTCACATGAAAGTTCTTCTCTGGCAGGCCTGGATAGTCTTAATTTGTTATATAAATTGAAGCACTTATTGCTTAGCAGTTCTACCTGATTTTTTTATTCTCCTCCCAAGCTGTGGTGGGTTTTGTGTTACCCGTTTTACTATGTTCATTGAGCACATATTATATCATTCACTGTGCTAAAAGCTTTCAGGAATTTCTTTTTTTTAGTCCTCAAAACAATCTTGTGATTTTTTTTTATATACTTAAAAGCTGAGCCTCCTAGAAGCTGAAAATGCATACAAAAATCACAAGATCAGCTACTGAGTACCAGGCTAAAGATGCAAATATAAGCTGGTCTTATTCTAGAAAGTCTGTATCTTTCTTTTAGTACGTCATCCTGTCCCAGTTTCTGCAAGAACATTTAGGTAATAAGTACGCTGTCTACTGGCACGATGGTATGTTATACGTAATACGTATGAAATAATAGATTTTGCAACATCTGTACCTTCCCGGTTGGACTGAATCTTACAGTTCCAATTTAACTAATTTTAGTTCTCTCTCATTGCAAGAAAATAAGTTTTCAAAAATAAGTTAGCTCGTCACATTATTCATAATATTGCTTCCAAATTTACTTGCCTAGCATTATTACAAAGCATGAAGGGAACATACAGAACACACTGAATGTTTTCTGCTGACTGCAATCCCACTTCAGTAATCAAATAAGTTGTCTTATGAGTTTAGAACAAATCTCACAACATTTCTAAGTGATCTAACATGACTTATGTGCCTTCAAGTTTATAGCACCAATAGGTTAAAACAGAAAATAAAATATAATCTAAGATGTTTGCAAGACATAGCCTCTAAACTACTTACCCCCATGACCGTATCTTCTATGCCAGGTAAATTCTAAAAACAAAAGAAAACAAAATTGGTCCTAAAGCAAGTCTTAGAGTTGTTTCAAACATCTCTCAAGTGAGAACCTAGTTAATAGGTAGGACTGGTCCCTCCCTGTTAAGGCTGAAATATCTTCTCATCTGGACAGATATTTATATTTCATTGATGGAAGCCTAAAGTTTTCAGTTAATAAAATTATGATGAAGTTTGTACATAATAATGTATGTTTGTTTCATCTCATTCATAAAAATGACTTCACCACAATAACTTAGCCAAAATGTTTCATTATTATGCTTACATTATATATGTTATTCATATTTACATCTGTATATGTAATGATATTATGGATGTTAATAATATTTAAGTATTAATGAAATCATCCTGTTTTGGAAACTCGATTCAACAATAAAATTTACTACTCAAAATAAAATATTATTTTTTATTTCCCTGAAGGTAAACGAGAAATTCAGTAGAACGTTCCTCATGTCTGTCACAATGTGGTCAGCAAAGAACACCACCCAACAGGATGTGACGTGTGTCACCAAATGAGACAGCAGTTTAACAAATATATACTGGATTAAGGTTCTTGATTAATGTACCTGAAAAATTGATCATTAGAAAGCATACTATGCTCAAATAAAGATATAATGTACCTTCCCTCAAAGGAATTCTCTGAAAACATCCTATCTCACTTTGAAAGAAATTTATTCTCTTTGAATATATCTGTCCTAAGTGAAGGACTCTTGAAATTATTTCATTACTCTTCTGTCATGTTATTTTAAACAAGATTTTCCTAAGATTTACTAAACTGTTGAAAGATTTGTAAGATTCAATAACATGTTGGAGCCAGTCAGAATACTCTTAGGAAGTGACGATTAATTTTCAAGAATTTTGTGAATCAGTTGTTAAACATGGCAAAAGTAAAAACAAATTAACTTACCAATAAGCAAATACATGAAGAACAAATATAATATGTCTAAAATCTATTACTTAATTTTTTTTAACCTCAATTTACTATTTCTTACTGAAGTTACCTTAGCCTAGATATCTGGGTAACAAAAATGATAGAGTAGTGAGCTGTGGCATTTTTTTCCAACTCCACATTAAATTACATGGAGTTGAAATTGACTGTCCCACAAAGGTTAGCATCAACCTCCCTATCCAAAGTTTGAACATTCCCTGGCACAGTTCTACATGAGTTTTTAACTGAGAGTAAAAAATTTAAAAATTAAGACAAATATTAACGTATAAAATCTGTTTACTTTTGCAAGTCAGATGTCAAAAGAAACCATGATTTTCAACATCATACAACAGAACCAAAAAGGGAAAACATGCTGATCACGCTTAGGTAATGTGTGGAGCAGGGAGAAAGGTGCTTCTTACCCGTTAGACAGCTTGTTAATGATGCCATCAGGAGATGGGTGATCACCAACCACATTTTCATCTTCTGGTTAGAAGCAGCTCACTTCAAATGGCTTTTTTTTTTTTTTGTAAAAGAAAAGCTTTTGTTTTATGGTAGCTGGATATTAAACACCTGCATCAAGAAGAGAAAAGAAGGCAGGGGAGGAAGAGGGAGGAGCAGGAGAGGAAGGAGAAGGAAAAGAACGGAGGGAAGAAGGGAAATGTCCATCATTTGAGGCCAACAATATCATCAGTTCTGCTTTGTTTTATGTTTCTTGTTTATAGTACACATTCTAGTTTATTTGCAGGCCCTGTAACCACGACATGGTAAGGAACAGCTTTGTACTCTAGGGCCTCAGCGGCTCCGATCAGGAACAAGCCGCTCAGTTGGGGTATGTTCAAGTTCTTTTCCTTAGCCACTGACTTTTATGACCCTCTCTACAAATAGCACAATCGCCAATATTCCAATATCAGTCATTTTACTCGAAGATGAAGCTTTTGTGAAGTGAAGACTGGGAGACTCATTTAAGATAAGAGCTTTGTCCAAGCGCCTTCTAAAGACACCGACCTCACAGGAGGGTGATACGCTAGTGCCTGCTGTTGGTGGCTGGTGGAAACTTTTTCCCAGAATACTAATTTTTAGTGTTAAAACACAGTGATGGAATAACATATTTAATCTCCTTTTTGTCTTCACCTTTTTATTCAACAAAAGGTACCAACAAAAAAGCCAGTCTAAGTTTCATGAGGTTAAGTATTTAAAAAGTGGTGAGCCATACGTAAAGACAATGAGACAAAATGACTTAACATAAATTGTTATGAATCCACATAGCAATCTAATTGTAATATATTTTTAATTTTTTTGTTTTTAAGAGAATACAAAATAATAAAAACAAAAAGAGAGATGCACAATTTCACGAAATTAAATGATATGAATTCAACAATGGTTGTTATATTGTACATCGTTGTCTTCAAATTAGTTGTGCAGGTCAGCAGATATAAACCTGCAATACTAGTCACAAAATTAAAAGGTGAAAAAGACCGAAGTCTCTTTCAATAGACAAGTAGAAATCAGCATTACCATCATCCAAGCTGTCCTATGTATAACAGATATATTTATTTTTTAGACTGGAGAGATAGCTCAGTGGCACAGTGTATTTTCTCGGTACAAAACAAAATCACGAATGATAAATTTTGCCAAAACTAATGACCATATAAGTGCTGAAATTTCACCAACGGACTTGGAAGAGCCTCTTGGAAATGAGGGTACACAGCTGAAGCCTTATTATCTTTATGGAAAATGTACCTGTAACTTAAGCCAACAGAAATGAGGGCTCAGAAAGGCAAAGAATTGCTTGCCTTTAAGAAGTTTCCAGATAACAGAAACACAGAGAGATATACAAGTTCGGGTAATGAAATAGTGATTCAGACTCGTGTGCCATTCACCTCATAAGAATGTTAATCATTTTAATTGGAAGCCCTACTACTGACTGTGGTAGGCAGGGCCTGAGGTTGGAGGTGCCATACTTTAAGATCAAAGTCATTTGATTGCTCTGAAATGCAATAATTTTTACTGAAATTCCTTGAGATGAACATATTTCAGGGCATTAGAAAGATTTCTTCAGTATAACCACATAACCCAGAGATTCCGCTGCAAGATATCAAACCATATTTTCCAAGATTATATGAGAGCATAGCACAAGTCTTAGGTTAAATTAAGTATAAAACACATAAGATAAAGATAAATCAAGGAAGCAATTCTGAAAGAAAAATACTTAATGTTATAGGTTCCACATAGAAATTAATATTATCGAAAAGAAAATTTTCCTACTATTTATTTGCATTGTATTGATATGTTAAGGAAGATATGAGATTCCATCATTTCAACTATGTTGAACTCTGAGAAGTATCTATTATTAATATTCAAGAAGCATAAGACTTTCCCGAGGCTGCCCAAATGCTTATCTATGCAGTGGTGCCTCACTTATGGAGGTTACAGTCCAGACACCCCCGCGAGAAGTGAAAATCAGTAAAGTAGCGATAGGCTTTGTAAACCCTTCCCACACTCTTACAAACTCTTCCCACACTTCTAAAAACATTCCTAATGTTCTTAACCATTTTCTAAACTCGTAAGCCTATGTAATTTTAACAACATGCATATACTGCTTGGTTCTGCATAATCTCATGATATAGTGGGAAATCCACTATATATATAACTTAGATTAGTATTTTTTGAAAGCCCGTGAAACAGTGAGTCCACAAAAGTTGAACCGAGAATTAGTGAGGGACTACAGTAATACATAAGCTAAAACCTTTTTCTTTTCAGTGTCTTGGTTACTCTGTAGTGAGTAAACCATTTATCCCAAAAAAAGATTGAATTCTTATAGAAAATGAAGTACAAGTGGGTCAAATTATCAGCAGGAAATAGAATATCATTTCAAAACATAACCAACAGGTGGCTTTTGTCAAGATTAACTTTTGAACAATGTATGTCTTAGGGACAACTGAGAAAGTCACAAGTATATATCTATCAGGCTTATATCAATCCTGGAATTTAAAATTCTGATTTGATCCAATTTCTTTCACCAGGCAGGAATGATAAAAAAGAAAAGCAAATTGTTTTTAAAAGGTGAAAAATGAAGAAAAACCTTCAAGAGGCAAAAAAATCAATTAAGTGATCTGAGGAAGACTATTTAGCTTTTTATTTCAATCATGTATGTTATCATTAGTACCTAAATATGTCCTAAATGAAAATTATTCAACTTGGTTATATCTTTCTTAGCTTCACCAGACACAAACAAGGTGGACTGGAACATTTTGCTAGTCCTTGGTTTCTAATTTTCCTACTAGATTATGTACAATAATTAGGATAAGTTCCTTTAATGCAAAGGGAGAAAAAAAGAAAAGAGAAAAAAAATCACGTCAAAATGTTGGCAATACCAGTTATCTTGTAAATATTAACTTAGACTAATATTTGTAGAAACATTTACAGACCATAAAGCATGCACAATTATTGTTGGAATTTAAAGAGCTCTAATTTATTTTCTAATAAAGTAACAAACACAATTTAAGAAATAAATGGTTGTCACAGATATTCAAAGTTAAGAGCAGGGGTGCTGCTGCAGAGTGGATGTCAAGTGAAGGGCAAATGGCACTGACCAGAGAGAAAAAGAAACAAACAGAAACAGCAGTAAAGAATGAAGAGGAGCTTGTATGAACATGTCCGTCAGATTCTACATTTCGAGGCAGTGTGTCAGGGGTGTTTGACCTATTTACTCATGAATTCTATGTGTAGAATGGAAAACTGGTGTAAGTCCACATAAAAGATTCGTTGTAGCCACACACAACAACTGATTTTAGGAAATGGAAAATAAAATGCTGAGGAACTTTCTCAGTCCAGGATGTTATTTACCACGTCCTTCTCAGATAACAGTCACTGCATGCAGGAACTTGTGCAGACACAGAGCAAAATAGGACAAGGGAAGCCAGGCCGATCTGGTCTGAGTGTTGCCCCCACCACTGTAGCTTTTAAGTAGGACAAGTTAACCTCTGACCTTCATTTCCCTCCAGGGCAAAATGTGAAAGGAGTTCAGGCTCCGTAGGAGTACCTGAGGGCTATGTGGGGTTGGGTGTGTTACATGTTTACTATGAGACTGCTCAATAAATATTAATTTATTATTGATGACTATAGACTTATCAGGGTAGGGAGAAAGAGAGGGAGGGAGGGAAGGAGGGAGGAAGGGAGAGAGAGGGAGAAAAAACGATTCCTCTGCACTCATAAATTAAAGGAGAAATTTAATTTGGCTTATATTGTTTTTTAGCAGTTTCAGTCTATAGTTGGCCTGCCCCAAGAAACAAAAGCTAAAGGAGAAGCCCAGGAAGGCCGCCTGACAAAGTCCTGCCTGCAGTAATTTAACCACACCCCTCCTCCTACCAGCACTTTTAGCTATAGCACCTTCATGATTCAATTACCTTCCCAAAGCCCCACCTCAGAGTGCATGAGACTCATGGGGGGGGGCATCTAGATATAATTCATAACAACGTCTGTATCTATCTACATCTATCTATCTATCTATCTATCTATCTATCTATCTATCTATCTGTTGTACCAGGGATCAAACTCAGGACCTTGTGCTTGCCAGGCAGTTGCTTATGCCACTGAGTTTACCCCCCAGCCCTACCTACCTACCTACCTACCTATCTATCTACCTAACTATAAAATACACAGAGAACATGCGTAAAACAAATGAACCATACCTGGATTACAAAACACTTGCCATAAACTGAAATTTCTTTAATTTTCTCAAATGAAGGTTAAAACAAGTAGGGAATAGAAAATGTATCCCTGAGGCTTTGCCTAGGGTGGCTGTGAGTTGTCAATGTTATTTATTTATTTTTTTTTTTTGCTCCGAATACCTTCAGGGCAGGTTTGGCTGGCTTGAGTTGTGGGAATCAAACCACAGCAACCTGAGCCTGAATTCTTTGTTGAAGCAGCCACTTAAAGAACTGAGCTAAGGGGCAGGCCCCCATGTCAATGTTATTCTTAAAAAGGATATGCTGAGTATCAATATTTTAAAGCACATTTGGATAACAGTTAATATGTTTCTGGACTTCTCTGTCTTGCAGTGGGAATCTGCCCCCTCTGATCAGCACGCACAGTTGCTCGTTTTGAGCTTCTGTGTGTTGCACGTACTATCTCTTCCTTCACTGGAGTACACTGCCCACTTCAGCAGGACAGCGAGCCATCACTCTGGTGAGGGTAACTGCCGTCACTTCATTGGTTTCCAGGTGATCAGACAGAAAAGTGCTGCCGCTGGCAGGATCACACACTCGCTGTCTCCTGCAGTGTGCTCCACCGCAGCACCTGTGGCCGCATCATTTGTGATCTCCCACCTCTTCAGCAGCGTGGTGGAGAAGCTAACTGCCCTTTGTTTTTCTCATGAGGAAAAGCCACGAGGAGGCCACGGCCAAGGCCCTCGCCTCCCCGGGCCTGGCGACAATGCAGCAAAGGAAAACAAACAAGCCTGGCAAACAAGTGCCAGCTATAGGACATGCCCATTTCTCCCCAGTAGCTGAAATAACAAGGTGACCAGAGGCAAGCACCTGGGCATATGCTCGTCCCTGGGGCCACGCTGT